GTGAATCGGAGCGCCCAGAGCATCGCCACGTGGAAGAGAGCCGTTGGGTGCAAGTTTTGATTTTTTTTTTCATTTTTTTATTCGCGAAAAATGGCTGCAGTTGGATTTGGAATAAAATTGATCGGACAGCTCGAGAATGCGCCACGTGGAATAGACCCGTTGGCGGGTCACTGTAGCGGGCGCGTCAAATTTTTTTTAAGGTTGGTGCGTGCACGCGCCAACGTTAAAAAAATTTAAACAACAACGCTGATGTCAGCCCAAAACGAGTTTTGTTACTCGGGCTGGACCTCCCCTTTAAACGGTGCCGGGGCAGGGACCATAACATTTTGCTTTGATACTTTACTCATGGCATTTCCCCCTGATGCATTACTTTGGTAATAACCACCAGGCATGGTGACACCTGTTGCGAATGTAACAATTGCTACGAGTGTAGCCACTATCAGATGGGATTCTCTTATATTTTTAACCAATTCAGTGTCTTCACCACATTTGTTTTCCTTTAATTTCTGGCCATCATGATCATTTTCGCTTAGAATTTGATGGCCTGATATTGCACCATTCCTTTCCAAAGTATGCTTGAGAAATATCTGCAACACAGACCAAAGAGATAGTGGTGCAATTTTTCAGTTGTGTCTCTGACGCAAATCATAACCTAACTAATAATTGAGGGCGAGGGATTATTAATTTAACCTAACCATAACTAGTACTTAAATGAAAAAGTCTACATGATGATACCCAAATCCAAAGCTTTGAAGAGTAAATAGGCTAAATTACTGCTCATGAGTCGACATGTACTGTCACACACAACACAAGCAATTGTTTAATGAAATATCATACCTTATATTTTAAATTATCATTAGCTATAATGACGTCGAGAGCGTTCATGTGTTCCTTATTGAATGCCATCTTATCAACCCTAGCATCAGTAATCAAAGGAATCCGGTTGTGGAGAGGAGCATTAAGTAGATGGAGTGTTGCCGTCATCATCCTTGGCATTTAAAAGGACGTTGCTAAGCCATGTATCCTTCATAACAAAATCTATAATTCGAGATTGACTCTTCTCCAAGGCATAATGAAGAGCATTTCGACGTCTTTGGTCGACCACTTCGCAACAATCAGGACAATAGGAAATAAGTTGTTTCATTACATGAACATGGCCCTTGGAGGCTGCAATGTGAAGAGCAGTCTTCTTATCAGCTTCGTCACCCATGTAGGCACTGCGTTTATTAGTTTCTAGTAGTTGTATAACAATTGAAGCATGCCCATGGAATGCAGCGTAGTGAAGTGGGGTCCATTCTTTTTCGTCTGTCACAATCGCCAAATCCTTTTTCTTGTTTAGTATTTCTTCCGTCATTTCTAAAAAATATATAAAAAGAATAATTAATCAATGCAAAAGTAAAAAAAGTGTATAATAATAATCTTATAAATATATACGTATACCCATGCTAGTTTGCTGGGAAAATGAACGAAAAAGGGGAAAGAATTAATTATATTTATATATACCTACCTTCATCACCGTAAATCACTGCAGCATGCAAAGCCGTTTTTCCAATGGGGCCTTGGTAAGTTGGATGCTTGCAAGTGCGAAGTATTTCGGAGAACAGAGCTTTGTATTTCCTCTCGGCAGCCAAATAAAGTGGAGTCTCCCCAGCATCATTAGCAGAGTAGAGAAAGTCAGGGTCTTCTCTGATCAATATCTCCACCACACCAAGGTGCTTAAACCGCACTGCCTCGTGCAAGGCTGTGTCCTTCTCCTTACTAGGTGTCCTTATGAAAATCTTCCAGCAGGCTGCTTCTTCTTCTGATGATGATGATAAGGCGAAGGCGGCAGCCCCATGCTCGAGGTCTTCACAACGACGAGCTTTTGCAGTTTGGATGAGACGTTCAACTATTTCAGCAAGCCCATGTTTGGCCGCCATGTGCAATGCAGTCTCACCGCTCTCGTTCTGCTGCCATAGCAGTGTTGGACAGATCTGAAGGATATCCTCCACAAAGCTGGTTGGCTTGATCGGCGCTTCTTCTTTAGATTTGACGAGCTTTGGGGTGCTTGCATAAGCGATATAAACATGGAGGACTGTGTTACGGGTCGGAGTCAATATTTGGTTAAGATGCTGCGGATCGTGTCCCCTCAGGACATCAATTTTGCCTTCTTTTGCAGCATTGAAAACATCTAGATCCATGCCCATTAAAATTGGGACGTCTGTTGCAGCAGCTTCCTGGTCAACGACTTCAACCGATGCTGACGGAGTCTGATCAGTCCAAGTGGTGCGATCCATGTGGTTCTTTTTGGTTGTGCGGAAGACAAAGTACTGCTCAGCTTCCACTTTTTGAGTGGGTGTTGGGAAAAGTTAATGACAAGGTCAGATGAAAGAATGAATGGATGAAAATTGGTTTTACTAGTTTAGATTGAATTTGAGAGAGTGAAGAAGAGTGACCAAGGAGAGGGAAAACGGGTAAATTTATATAGATGGATAGAAAAGAGAGAACAGGAAAAAGGAAGAAGAGTAGCGGAGAGAGGTAGAATATTAAAATAAAATAAAAAGAAAAAGAAAAAGATCAGAATGTGTTTTCCATGCATGTCTACGTAGGGCCTGAGGTTAGAAAAAGGCTGAGAGCTTCATCATTCCTGACAAGGACGAATCAATAAACAAACTTTTCCTTCTGTTTTTTTTTTTTTTTTTACTTTTTTAATTACATTCTGTTTCGCAGGCTGAAGCGACACAACACTCTTAGAAAAACGGAGACGAGGAAGAAGAAGAGTGGCGGCGAGAGAAACAATAAAGAAAAAGAAAAAGAGAAATTCATGTCTTAACGTAGAGGTTAGAAAAAGAGTGAAGGAAGCCAAAGCTGAGAGCTAATATTGTTCATCATTCGTGACAAGAAGAACCATCAACAAACTAACTTCCTTTTCTTTTTTTCTTTTTTAATTTCATTATGTTTTGCAGACTAAAGCGACACAATGCTCGTAGGAAAAGAGAGAAGAGGAAGAAGAAGAGTGGAGGATAGAGAATAAAAAGAGAAAAAGAAAAAGAGAAAGCCATGTGTCTTAATGAGTACGTAGAGGTTGGAAAAGAGTGAAGGGCCCTGCGCTTAGGGCTAAAGCTGAGGGCTAATCCAATCCAATATCAATTGGATCAGATCAGATATTAGATTTAAACATCGACCTAATATGATTGGATTGTATTGAAAAAATCACAATCCAATTTATATTGGATCGGATGAACTAAATTATATTGGTTTCGAACCGATGTATATTCAAATAAAATAAATTGTGTTGAAAGTTGAAAGTTTCATTTCTTAAGTACCCTATTAAAACCTTTATTAGGTATTTATTTATATCGGAGTATAGACTCAAATAATTGATTATTTGTGTGACTATTATAATCGAGCCGTAAAGCTTTTATGAATAATACTATCGTTTGGCAACAAAAGAAAAACACAAATATCATATGTTAAATATCAGATTGTTGAATTGGACCCTTGTGCAAACAAATATCAGCCCAATTTACCAAAGTCCTCATTTGTACTTGGGTCTTGTCTAGCAACTGATCCCAATGACATCATCAAATATTAAATTGAAGGCTTTGTTCATCGCGAATGAAAATTGAAATAATTTGAATTCATGGCTTCTATGAATTTATTAACACATAAACAATAAAAAATTATGAGGAGTATTGCACATTAACATATGTAATCCAATAACTGAAAAACCAGGAACAAAATGTATTAAGGTCGCAGTTCATCTATTCTCATTCTTATATTTTCTATCCCAAACTTGCAAAATCCAGTAATTATAGAAATAAATAACATGGCCTCGCGACCATAAATATGTTGTAATAACTGTTCTAGGAATTGTTGAAGCCTTTGATAGGAAGGGGAAACTTCAGAAAGTGCAGTATGAGTTAAGATAAAGAAGAAACTACAACCAAGCACAGAAGCCACTTCTAAGGCAAGTATTAGAGAATGACCTAATACTGCATATGCCCCTGCAATGAATGCAACCACCATTGCAATTAAAGCTGACATGGTGATATACAACACCACGTCAAATGCTGTGGAAATTCCTTTTCACATCGCTTTGTGTGCATCGATACGTAAAGGCGCATTAAGACAGAGAAACTGGACATACACAAGGCTAGTGTATCGGATACAAAGGCATTGAAAGCCGCATTTCTTGATAAAACTGCAAAACCCTTCTCACTTAGGTAACCCCCAGGAATGGTGAAACCTGCTGCGAATGTTACAGTTGCTATGAGGGCAGCCACTACCAGATGGGCTTCCCTTACATCCTTCGTTTCATCCGTGTGTCTTCACCACCTTTGTTTTCCTTCCATTTTCGGTTGGCCACCATAACTTTTGCTTAGAATCCGATGGCATGCTAAGATTTCAAGGCTTGTTGGAGATATATCTGCGACACAGACCATCAATGTATCTTGGAAAAATAAATAATAGAATAAAGAGTATAACGGCCGGTGCAAGTTTTCAGTTGAACAAATTGTCACCTAACTAATTGAGGGATATCAATTTATCTTTTATTGTAAATAAAATATCATACTCATTTCTTATATCATACTTTTTGAGTGGATGTTGGGAAAAGTTAATGACAAGGTCAGATGAATGAATGAATGAATGAAAATTGGTTTTACTCGTTGAGATTGAATTTGAGAGGGTGAAGTAGAGTGACTAAGGAGAGGGAAAACGAGTTACCAAGTTAAAAAGAGTTGATACACACAAAAGGAAATACATAAGTTGCTCTCCCACCTTGTCGTCACCAAGTAGAAAACAAAAAGCAGGAACTTCCAAATCTGCAAAATGAAGACACGCAAAGCAAACAAAAGCAGCCTCACAAATTCAGGAAAAACTACGTACCAAGCAATACAAGCCATCCAAGAGCTAATAAAAGCCCAAGGGAGGGAGGAATGGACGAAGGTACCATTAATTTCATTTCAAAGCATTCATGAGACGCATCTGCAATACAGACCATGTCAGTCTAAATTGTTGTTTCTCTTTCAATTAGAATAACCTGCGGTTCCAACATATCCACAATAATACATGCAACGAGGGGTTTGTTTTTTCTTATGGAAATAATTTTAAAATTAGGGGATTAAGTTAAAAACTTAGTAGTAAATGATTTTATTATTTACTTTTAAAATGAGGGGCCAATACTAGCCCAATTGTGTGTTGTGACATTTTCTGTACGTAGCATAGATAATGAAGATGACGGGGTAGTCATCTTTAACTCTGTCACTTGATGACAATCTACAAAAATATGGCCCTCAACTATTTGTGTGATTTTTGTTAATACTTTGAAAAAAATATTATATGAACTAAAATTCACAAGGAAAGGATAGAAACAAAATAGTAACAAACATTATGTAACAAAGTGACAGGGATGTTATCCACATCCTCGTCATCAACAATGATGCCTCTCCTGTTGTCACACCTCATATCCAAGGTTGGTGGAAATCCCGAGTCCGGTGCGTGAGAAAAAATAAAAAAATAAAAAAAAATCAAAATATGGGTTTAAAACAAACTTCTCTTATAAAAATAGCTCCAAAATGTTACAACTTTACAATAAATAAATAAAGCTATATCACTTTCATCTAATTCAGCCTCAACTGATTTAGTCCTTGTTTTGCCTACTAATTCATCTGAAAAATTAAACAGGGCGATGAATGAGCAACCACCACTCAGTGAGTGGATTATGTAATGTCAATCAAGCAATGCTGTTTTACACACTCTAGAAAAAATCATGAAAAGATACACCAATCCAGATCATATCACATCATCTTTTCATATCTCTGTTATCCTTCATAGCATGTAACCAACGACGTGACCCTATTGGCCTCATTACCCTATGTCCCCGTGTGGTACATATATCCTTCGGATACTCCAACATTGAAGTTATCATGTTCCATGAATAATACATACTTCATAAATATTTCAATATATATATATATATAGTGTGTGTGTGTGTGTGTGTGAAAGATTGCACCAAATTAAACATGCTTGACTTGAAATAAAGAGATATTTGTAAATAGAACAAATCCACGATAATTCATGGTTTTCATATTTTATCACAAAATAAGAACTTTTAGAACACATTACATAAACCACTCACCTCGATAATGAGAGTCCTTAAAATAAATTGGCAAGACAACCCATCTACCTATCTTTATGTACTATCACCCAAACCAAACTCCAAGAGTTTCATCACTACTCTCTCTCCTTCTTTCTAATTTATCATGTTTGAAACTATAAGGTTATGTTCCTATTTATAGTGTTTGTAGGAATATGATAAACTTCAATATTAAAAGGATAAGAACATCCAAGTTTATCCAAAGGATAAATATCTTAAAAAGATAATATCGTCCAAGTTTATCCAAAAGATAAATATCTTAAAAAGATAATATCGTCCAAGTTTATCTGAAAGATAAATATCTTCTTTTAAACGTTTAAAATACGAATCTCACACTCAATAATCGTCCCCGTTCATGGGGAGAGAAAATTTCAGAAAGTGTGGCTAAAGTGAAGATAAGGAAGAACAAGCAGCCAATCACACAAGTCGTAATGGCAAGTCCCGGAGAATGACATAATACTGCATATGTCCCTGTAACGAATGCAACCACCATTAAAATTAAAGCCGACATAGTGTTATAAAACACCTCGTCAAACGCTGCAGAAATCCCTTTTCGCTTTGGGTGCATCGATATATAAAGGTGCATCAAGACAGAGAAACTGGACATGCACAAGGCGAGTGTGTTTGTTATAACAAATGCCTTGAAAGCTGCATTTTTTGCTAGAACTGCAAAACCCTGCTCTGGTCCTTTCTCACTTTGGTAACCACCAGGGATGGTGAAACCTGCTGCAAATGTTACAGTTGCTATGAGGGCAGCAACTACCAGATGGGCTTCCCTAACATTGTTTGATTTATCAGTGTCTTCACCACCTTTGTTTTCCTTCAATTTCCGATGGCCACCATAACTTTTGCTTAGAATTCGATGGCCTGATTCTGCACCATTCTTTTTCAAAGCTTGTTTCAGATGTATCTACAACACAGACCATCAATATAGGGTTGTAAATTTTTAGTTGAATCTCCGACACAAATTCTCACTTAACGAGGGATTATTAAGTTATCTAGATAAAAGTCCATACCTCATTTCTTGAATCATCAGCTATAATGACATCAAGAGCGTTCATGTTTTCCTTATTGAATGCCATCTTATCAACTCTAGCATCACCAATGAAACGAGTACCAAAGAGAGGAACATCATCAAGTAGATGGAGGGGTGTGTTGCCGTCAACGTCCTTGGCATTTAGGAGGATGTTGCTAAGCCATGAATCCTTTAGAACAAAAGTCGTGATTCGTGATTGATGTTTCTCCAAAGCATAATGAAGAGCATTTCGACGTCTTTGGTCGACCAGTTCACAACAATCAGGACAATGAGAAATAAGTTGTTTCACTACACCTACATGG